TTGACATGTAGTTTCTCAGCGTTCTAAGTCACTGTGGGCCATTCTAAACATATGTGATCATCACAATTCATTAGGCTTCTTTGTACGTCGGTAGTATGGTTATGAGAGACAAGTGGGGCGGTTAGGTTGCCTAGTGGTTAAAGCGTTCACTCGTCACGCCGAAGGTTCGGCTTCGATTCCCCATATGGGTACAATGTGTGAAGCCCATTTCTGGTGACCCCCGCCTTGATATTGCTGGAATATTGCTAAAAGCGGCGTAAAACCCAAGTCACTCATTCACTATGACAGACACGTAACGCTAACAATTTCTTTGACCAATGAAGAGTACCGTAAACATTGCAATAGAATCACTGTAGATAATGCGGAATGTTAATTTATGATCTAGAAAAAAATAGGCGTACAGTGGTGACGTTCGGTACGTCTGTGTAATTTATTTTGCTATTTTTAAAATAAAAATATTTCTTTAAAGTCGGTAGTAGCATGACAAGCATGTACCAAAGGCTTCTGTGAAAATAAGTGGCTTGGATAAAATAGCATTCATCCGACAGGAATTTTTGTTTAATTATATATACACAAACATAATCATCAAAATTTATTAACCGTGCCAAAGACAGAAATATGCATCACATTTTATGACCCGTGTTAAAGGTTGTAAAAAATGATGTTTTTATTTTTGTATGGCCAATTTCATGGGTCATAAAACGCTGTTATTACTTCAAATTGTGTTTTGCTAGGGATCCGTTTGATGCGAGTTGAAGTGAAACGATGGATTTCGTTGTGATGCCGTCCAAATATATATATTTTCACAGAGATTTGGAGAGCGATTCTCGATACAATCTCTGGGAAATGTAAATATGCCTATCTAATTCGTGAACTCGATCCGATACTTAGTAAAATCGACACTTGCTAGGAGAGAAATATGGAGAAATCGAATCTTGGTGATCTGGACAATGTAAAGGAGACAATTCCATCACCACTGACTGATGGGAAGGGGAGCTTTGTGTGTACTAGGGTATCCCAGTGGTTAAAGCGGTCGCCTGTCGCACTGAAGGCCTGGGTTCCAGCCCGAAATAATACAATGTGTGAAGCTTGTTTCTGGTGTCGCCGTGATATGATAGCAGTTTTGTTGAACGCGGGGTGAAAAAACAATATTCTCACTCCCTTTGGAATATCTGGGACATTTTAGACAATTTTTACGGTTTAAAATCTCTGATCTACACCTACACCTAGGGTAGCCTAGTGGGTACAGCGTTGGCTCGTCACGCCGAAGACCCGGGTTCGATTCCCCACATGGGTACAATGTGTGAAGCCCATTTCTGGTGTCCCCCGCCGTGATGTTGCTGAAAAAATATTGCTAAAAGCGGCGTAAAACCAAACTAACTCACTCACTCACTCTGATCTACACACCAGACAAAATGAGTTCCCCACACGATGGAAAAAGTATAGTCACTTACGTAAATCTCCAGTCTTGAGGGGGCGGTGAGGTAGCCTAGTAGTTAAAGCGTTGGCTCGTCACGCCGAACACCCGGGTTCGAATCCCCACATGGGTACAATGTGTGAAGCCCATTTCTGGTGTCCCCCGCCGTGATGTTGCTGGAATATTGCTAAAAGCGGCGTAAAACCAAACTCAGTCAGTCAGTCCAGTCTTGAGTGAGTGAGTGAGTGAGTTGGGTTTAACGCCGCTTTTAGCAATATTCAAGCAATAACAGCCCAGCCTTGAATCATCCTCTCGATCAGTGTGTGCAGATTTAATGAGCTAGGCCCCACAGTATTCGTCTATCAAAAACTATGATGCATTTTATCCTTTTCCAAATTCAGCACAATCCGCTCAGTGGCCCAGTGGCCCAGTGGTTAGGTTCTTCCAGGATCCACTGCTAATGGGTTCGCATTTCGTACTTACAAGTATGACCATTAGTTTGCCTGTACTATAACTTCCTGGTCGGATTTCACGACATGCAGGATGTAAGTAGTATGTTGTTGTGCAATAAAGTGCAGGTAGGTGTATCAAATAATTAAGTGGGTTGGGACGGAATGCCGCATCATCAGATGTTAACTGAACCAGTAAATTTAATCACAATTGAAACCAAAATTTTAATTATATAATTACAAAGAAATAGAACTAACAAAAGCAGTTCTGTGCGGGGCAAGAAATTATATTTCCTTCCACGGGAATAGTACAAATATTTTTCTCTATTCATTCTGTTGTAAGAATTGAGGTGGGAGGACGAGGTGTGCCAGGTGTCGCTCCACAAGGCGATCTCAGCGCTTTAATGATCGTAATTCCTTACCTTAACAATCGATCTTAACTTTAAGGCGATCTTAACTCGCGAGTATCAACATTGTTTATCGAGTCTAAAGGTCGAAGCTGAGGTTGTTTTGTGGAATTTGGGCATGCATGCCATCCGAGATGAATTCTATTTAAATAATTTTTTTTATTTTTATTTACCTTCGTTTAACAAAATTGAAAAACTCAAAATTCCGAAGCGGTGATTATGTTTGAGGTATGTATGTAATTTGTATGTCAGTGGGCTTTGCTTCACAAGACAACACTTTTTTAATACCCAAACAAAACAAAATATATACCCTCTAACAACTGTAACTGATCCTGTAAAGTACAGTTGCCAGATTTTACAACCTTCCACACAGAGCGATACCCTTAATTTTTAAAAAATGATAAAAAAAACAATTCTAAAAAAATACAACTTCGAATATCTGTCTGCCATCAAACTGCAATATAACCAGCCACACTAGTGGAATGGACACAGACATAGCGAAACAGAATATAAAGTTTAGTTTATTCAAATTAAGATTTAAATAATTCATATTGTTTCGAAAGCATTTGAGAGACCTAATCACCCTGAGCCAGTAGGAATCTTCATGTAAAGAGGCAGATTTTTAATAATGCTTGTGAAATTTTGAAAACAATCTACATGAAGAGTGAGTAAATTATATTTTACGTCGCGTGGAGTAATATTCCGATAATATCCCAGCGAGGGGCACCATAAATGGTCTTCACGCATTGTGTGTATTTTGAGAATGGAACCGGGTCTTCAGCGTGACGAGCAAACGCTTAACCACATTCCCCAATATGATGCAGATGAATATTATACCGGAACGTTTATTGTTGAGTTTATGCATGTGTCAATACGACAGTCAAGTTCAAGGTCAGTCATGTGATGACAGTCGAATAAAAGATGACCATTGTTTCAGTGAGTGACTCAACCTGTGCATGTATGCAGGATATCCTGAGCCGCTCTCACAATGAACAATACAAAACTGTCATGTCACTGATGCTCGCCACTTAACAAACAAATGGACAGTTTTATATTTGGAGCAATGTATATGTGTGATGGTGTCTTTATCAAACGTTTGAAAATTAACTCAAATTTGTTTTCTGGCAGTAAGGCAAGAGTGCCACAGCGGGTCAAAATTGAAATACGCTGAGGGCATTGATAATTATAACAAACCAGAAAAAATGGATGCATCGAAACCGGAGTATCATCTTGTTGAGCATTAAAATGTAGCGTGTTCGTCTTGCAAAAAAATCATGTGACGTTTTCCCGAAAAGAAACAGCATTAAAATGTCGACAGCGATTGTAAAATTTCAAATTGTCGGTTTCAACAAATCAATTTATATTTTTATTGTCGACATTCGTGATTGATACAGCTGCAGCAATAATATGACATGTTAAGCACTTCTTTTTTTTGCACAAAATCATGTTATGTTGAAAACGGATTTCGCTTTCCACAATAAAAGTACTTTTAAAAGAGGTATCGCAAGTGTGGCTACATATTACAGTGGCAAAAACGGGAAAATGTTTCATAAACTTGAGCACTTAGGCGTAAGTTGCTGGATGCCAGAGACATTCTCGATTTAAGTGGGGACATCCGCAACTTGCTTCAAAAACAGATCTTAAACAACGAGATAATCAAACTCGAAGAATTCTTGCTCTAAACCTGAAACAAATATCTCATGCAAATTCCAAGCCGGCGCTATCCATTGATTTGTTCTCAAATTGCGGGAAATCGTTTTTAATCTTCTTTTTTAAGTGCAAAACAGTTGTATGATCGGACCGACAGTTATTTCGGGGTTTTTTCTGATTTTGGCTCGAGAATCATATCGCGTTTCATCTGTCGTGCAAACTGCTAAATATTTCTGAAAAGGCGGTGTAGGATAACTGTGCATCGAATTGTTTGACTTGTGCGCCTTTCCACTTTCCATGTCCTACTTGATTTTTGGAGTATCTGTCTGTATTTAAAATATTACGAGCATTTTGTAATCTAACAATGTTCAGTTCCGCATATCGTTTCTCCTCCGTTACATAGTTCAGATCATGTAAATCAGAAGAAACAATATATATTGCAAAGGAAAAAGTCTTTTTAAGACCAATAATAATGATATAATGTTTAAAACATGTGAAATATACTTTACACACGTAAACGAAAATATTGAGATTACGCATTGCGAGCTTCAATTATCCAGCTAGTGTAATTTTATGACAGTGTGACCTAGATTAATTTCCTCGTGTATTTAAAAAGCTTTGCTGTCCTACCAGCCTTGTGGAGGTTTCAGTATAACGATTTAACGTCTATCTCAGCGCGCTCTCATTGGCTGAAAACGAGCACATTTAACCTTCAACCTTAACTGTACAACGGGGTTTGTAAATACGGTTTCGTTTCATTTTAATTCCATTCCCCGTTTCACCGAAGCTCTTATTGAAATCGAGAGGGTGATATTTGAATTTTATGGACTTATTTTTTACCCCATTTGAAAAGCGGAGTGAGAATAGCGTCGCTCTGTAAGAATGTGTTTATCATAGCTCGGCGCTCTATGTTTTCATGTTATGACGCCGATGTGAAATGTACATTACGATAGCCGTGCCACCCGCTCATCAGTCGCCCATTGAATGCAATTTACAACCTTGTATATCTCAAGTTGGATCAACATTGAAATGAACACATGAAGCAGGAAATACGGTCTATTTTTTTCTTCTTTGCAGCCTTGTTTCTAGCGAACGGGTTGACATGGAAATTTGAAACGAAATTCCGGAAAACTGGGGCACTTGAGCGGTTCATTCATACAGCAGCAGCAGATGGCGAGATTGACAGAAAGAATTAGCGATGCATAGGACAACGCGAGCTCGTCTTGACGACCTGAACCACCACCTAGTGTGTGTGCTATGTGGAGGGTATTTCATTGACGCGACGTCCATCATCGAGTGCCTTCATTCGTGTGAGTACATAGACACTGAAGACACGCAGCATGCAGTCTACCAGCCTTAGATGTAATATTCCTTACACTTTTGTTGTAGCGTCAAACACCATGGGGGCATTTATCAATTAATACCTGTATTCAAACGCTTAGATGATGGGACACCTGTTTTCATTTCATTGTGGATATCTATGTGAAATTTTTGTCACATGTTTCTTAAAGTAATTAATTCGTTTACTTTTCTGTTTGTTTAGATAGATCAAAATACCTGCTATATTTGCTTTTGGTATGTTTTAATAATAAGTTTAATTGTGTATTAGCTATACGATAGGATAATGTGCATTTTAGAGGGGTCTGGATGCGATCAAGAATTGTGCGAATAATACTCTATTAGTTTTTCAAAACATTTTTCAAAGTTTTATACGATAATGTCATATTGACATATTGTCAGCTATGTAAGGTATATCATGCCAAAGCTTCAGTTTAAATGGACGTTTTGTAGCTCTGCCCACGCTTTAAGTTGCGCAATATCCGGTTTATCAGGAACATGCTCGACTTTCACATATGGGGTTTTAGGTTTGTCAAAGTTTCACAGACGAGTTTTTCATTGTGACATTGTACTTTTAAATGCGCCATGGGTGTTCTTAACATTGCGACATGAAGAAGATTCACCCACGTACAGCATGGGATTTATCTGTGCGACGTGGACTATTTCCTATACGTCAACAGTGCACCAGCGGCTGAGAAAAAATCCCACATTCTTGTGACAAATTATCCTCTCTGTGTATTCCGAAGGCGCAGCGTCATTTCCATAACCGTTAAGCTTTATTAAATCCGCCTGGTTTGAATACGTTGGGTTTCATGCGATAATTTATCCAGTTTCAAGGGTGCGGATGGGTAGCCAATTGGATGAAGCGTTCACTTGTTTCGTGGAAGCCAGGTTTTGATTCCCGATATTGGTACAGTGTGAAATCTTGGCGACATTTCCGCCAGGATATTAGCTGAAATGACATCGAACAATACTCATTATTACGACGTGAAACAATACACATTATTACGACGTGAAACAATGCTCATTATTGCGACGTGAAACAATGCTCATTATTGCGACGTGAAACAATGGTTATTATTACGACATGAAACAATGGTTATTATTACGACATGAAACACTACTCATTAATACGATGTGAATTAATGATCGAGGAATCAGACACTGGTTATATTCTAGTCCTGGGCCCCGTTCCTCAAAGCGATCGTAGCGCTAAGACGATTGTAACTCCCATACTTTAACATAGACTTACGACTGTCGTAGCGCTACGATCGCTTTGAGGAACGGGGCCCTGGGCGCTAATGTATGTTAATGTATGGCACTTACGACTATCTTAGCGCAAAGAGAGCTTCGAAAATCTAGGCCCTGACTCGATTATTTATGGATCAAGTCATAGCTTTCGGCATGGTGGGGACAAAACATGCTTGCTGGGTCACACACAATATCGATTACAGTCAGTATGTGAGTATGGTTTTACGCCGCTTTAGCAATATTCCAGTAATATCACGAGGGGGGACACTAGAAATGGGCGTCACACATTGTACGTGGGGAGTCGAACCCGGGTCTTCGGCGTGACGAGCGGACGCTTTAACTAACACAGCTATAGGACAGCGAAATGGAAGTCATGGAATCGAGAGTGCTGACAGACCAATCACAGACTAGCCAATTTTCACTGGGGTCTCCTCTTGTGTCTTCGTGTATAAAATGCGTTGAACGTTTCTCTTGCTCACGTGACTACCGTAGGCGCTGGCGGAGTGGTTACGTCTTTTTCAAATGAGAAAAAAATGCCTCATCGAACTTTTCTTGTGATATTGAATTAGTGCTACGGCGTTATCAGGTTTGATCTGAGTGGGGCTGGGTTGTCTGTCAGGCGATCCTATATAAACAGTGATTAGATAGCAAATGACACGTTGCCCCTGGTTACAGTGAACCCAGCTACCAATCTGACACGTGCTCTTGTGTCGCTTTTCTACTTCCGGGTAGAATCGTGAAGATTCGCTTCCTGGCTGAAGGATTAAAGGACAAGCTGATTACCGCCAGATCGTTAACTCCGATACGCTATCTGTCCTGGAAATCTGACGTTAACGCTGAGCGTACTTTGACAGCCAAATCTAAAATAAAGGGTTGTGGCAGTCAGTTGTCAGCTTTCGAAACGATTCGGATCCTGCTACATGAGTGAGTTTAGTTTTACGCCGCTCTTATCAATATTCCAGCAATATCACGGCGGGGGACACCAGAAAATGGGTCCTGCTACATGGCAACCAACACACATTCCCTTGGTTGTTCCCTGGGTAGAGATGCTGTAGCGCTTAGAAGCGACTAGATATCCACAACAACGCGCCTTTATTTATTTGCATTCGGAACTGTCCGACCATAAATGTAAAATATGGAATTGTGGCAGTCAGTTGTCAGCTTTCCGAAACGATTCGGATCCCGCTACATGAAAACCAACACATATATTCCCCTGGCTGTGCCCTGGGTATAGATTCTGTAGCGCTGAGAAGCAACAGGATTTATCAGATATCCACAACAACACGCCTTTATTTATTTGCATTCGGAACTGTCCGACCATATTCATTTTTAAAATACAGAGATCATGTGTGCTTCTGAATGACTGAATGAGATTAGCTATTGGGTTAGGAAGCTGACGGGGCCGTCTACAGAGGCGTTGCCACACGAGAGGTACAGTATAAGAGTAACCGATGTGGTATTTAAGGGATTGATTACAGGTGTGTGTATCTCATGTCGTTAGGGGTCGGTGGGGAAGCCTTGTGGTTAAAGCGTTCGCTCGTCACGCCGAAAACCCGAGTTCGATTCCCCACATGGGTACAATGTGTGAAGCCCATTTCTTGTGTCCCCGCCGTGATCTTGCTGGAATATTGCCAAAAGCGACGTAAAGCCACACTCACTCACTCACTCACTCACTCACTCACTCACTCACTCACTCATGTCGTTAGAGGTCATTGTTATTTAGTACGCTGGACTGACAGAAAGGTAGCAATCCTTGTCATGTGGTGTCAGCCGAATGACTGATAACATCTACAGATACACAGAGTGTAAATAGTTGTCACAACAAAGTAGAGGTTGATTGTATATTATCGAACGTGTGACTGTGACTGTTCTTTTTACACCTTCGGGATGGCCACGAGGCTAGACTAGTCCGTCACGTGACACCACAGCTACATTTACCACAATCTTCTAGCAGTGCCACTGCTACTACAACAAGTACTACTGCTGGTGCTACTACTACTACTACTACTGCTGCTGCTGCTGCTGCTACTACTACTACTAGCAGTGCCACTGCTACTACAACAAGTACTGCTGCTGCTACTACTACTACTACTACTACTACTGGGGCCTTGGGGTAGCCTACTACTACTACTACTACTACTACCTATGAATGGAGTACAATATTCTTGAACGCTACGTTAACCCAAATTTGACTTTACTGCTACTGCTGCTACTGCTACTACTACTACTACTACTACTACTACTACTACTACTACTACAAACATCAACACCAACACCGCCGCTGTTGCCAAAATTACCACAGCCTGTGCGTCACAAAAAAATTCGCGTAACGGATCTATGAAGGACATCTTTGTGTAACAACGGTATGTTTTGTTCTAACTGCTCCGAACAGTGGCCGCAACGAGACATCGTAGGTAGCGACGAGACGAGCTTGAGTTCGCCCAGCGTTGTTTGAGCCAATGACTGTTGTTTGACGCCGCAGTCAAGAGAATGCCTATGAATGGAAGCACTAACCTGTTCCATGAAACACATTTATGCATTAGTTAAATTTTATAAACAGAATTTGCCTGAACATTGAGTACCACGTGACTGACAGGCAGATCCACAGTTGGCAAAAACATCCCATTTCCTTCCTCGTGCAGACATTCCTCCATGACGTGGACGTCCCATGGCTCACGGTTACGGTTTGGGTGGCTGTCATTAGGAGCCTCTATAGTTTACAGGAAACGCTTGCCGTTTTTTAATCAGGGGCTCGGTAACGGGAGAAAAAGCTACTTGTATAAGTAAGGGTGAAGCAAGTATATCACATGACCTCTGCATGCGCGCGTTTACATTTCGTAATCTGTAATTTTCACCCAAGAGGTAAGCATTAACCATTTAGCGCCTGCATAACTTAGGTTGCACTCCCACATCTATTTGACATTCCGGGATATAAATCAAATTTTTTTTGTCCTGTGCAACGTAAATAATTCAATCGAGAAATTAATCAAAATTTCTAATTCCACCACTACTTTCAGATCCGCCTAAAATCACTTCCACTTCCTCCGTGCATATGTCGTCTTTCGTATTTCCCCAAGTGAAGTCAAAGTTCAGATCGGCTCTTCAGAGGCGACTAACGGGATCGGGTGGTCAGGTTCGCTGGCGTTGTACATGCCTGTCATCGTGGCCCAAATTTTGTAGATCGATGCTCATGTTGTCAATCACTCGTTTGTCAATTACGCGATTATTTACACTCCGCCACCACATAGCTGGTCATGGAATACTACTATCAGACAAATAAAAACTAGATATTTGAGAAAGGGTCTTAGGGTTGTGAACGCGACTTCTGTTTTGACGATTTTGATTAAGCCCTTTTCAAATTATAATTTGAGCCAATTTATTTTTTGTGTGTTTTGGTGTATATTAGTTTGCCGACTTATTAGAGGGTCTGTAAATATAACATGCTCGACAAGGAAGTAACCAGATTAATTAATATCCTGTTTCTAAGGATATGACGCGCGGGGCAATTGGCAGACCACGTGAAACAGTGCTTAAAACACGATAAACACAAGAATGTAGTGTTTCGTGAAACACAGTGGAAAGTGCGAGCGTGAGAAGTTTGAGGTAGGGGTGGGGACGGACAGGAAGGTTACTGGAGATTTTAAGCAGAACATTTACATTAACGCAGGTTTTATGTTCCACCCGGCGGACATGTAATTATTTACAGTGAGTATAGTAGGCG